TATATGTATATATATATATATATAGCCTATATATATATCCTATGATACTAATAAATATAGTATTGAAAGATAATAAAGTATGCATAAATAGAGGTATACTTGTATATGACAAATTCACAATTCAAAAATGAAATACATTTTTTTTGCTTAATCCCTCGATGCTACCGCGTATATCAAATACAGTGGTACCTCGGTATTCGTCTGTACAATCACAACCCGCTGGAACATTTTCGGTTAATAACAAATGTTTTTATTTTGTCATCGATAAAAAGTTTTCTGTGATAAAAATGAGTAACTAATTTAAAAATAAAATAAAACCTTAGAGCTCCCTCGGGGATTAAGACGAGGGCAAGCCGACGGCAAAGGAAGGACGCGCTCCAAGTGCCGCAATGTAGTGCCCTGTTTTCAATATTATTTGTATATTTATCTATACAAAATGCATATCTTCAATGCCATTGTTTGTTTATACATATAATAGCATTTTTGATGCGACGGTGTCAATAAAAAAATTTATATATACATATATATATATTCGATAAATGCAGTCAAACCTCAGTTATCGAACGACTCTCTTTTCGAAAAAATCAGTTCAGAAACAGAATTTCGATCTCATAATTTCAGCGGTTGCCGAACAAGCTAATCGGAAAGAGCCGGCCACAGATTAGAGAAACACAGGTCAACTCCCTATACTTCCTGTGTTAAAGAAAGTCGACGGCTCGAATAATGACAGGACTGCCGATTCAGAAGTTAGTGGCTCCGAGATTGCGTCATTAGACGTCATAACACGAATCATCGATGACGTTGCTATTTAAATTGGATTTCAATGCACATGCAGGAAAGATAATACTGTACTTCCGTTTTTCAGTACACGCCACAGTTGAATTTAAATTAAATTAATTAGTAAAAACAGCGTTAATCGACTTTCACGAAATGTGAAAGGCATCCAAGAATTAGTGTTTAATGGTGCTCGAAAACCGAGGTTTGACTGTACTAGGATATGATTTACAATGAACGATTTATAATAAATCACATATCTTAATGTATTTTTTCTGCCCTGTGAGCACTGAGAGGGCCTTTATCAAGCCCATAGTAAGTTCCGTCAGGACAATGGGGGGGCTCGATATATGGTTACTCCCGAAAAAAAATTACTTGGATTTTTTTTTGAGGTGATCATATCTCGTCCCAGTCCTCCAGAGCTTTAGACGGTCGGATGGCCGAGCGGTCAACGTAACAGCCTACAGCTCTGGGGAACCCGGGATCGGATTCGGACGGATCGAAAAATCCCCAGGAATTTTTTGGGGGTTGGTAAGTCCGGATATGTCGGGCCCCGTCCCTCACCACCCGGCCTGGCTGAACCCATAATGGGCATGCTAAAAACGAGGCCCTCTTAGTGTCCACAGGGCGGAATGAGTAAAAAAAAAAAGTCCTCCAGAGCAGTAGGCTGACATCTTAACTGCTCGACTATCCGGCTGCCTATCTCAATGCATTAAATTAGGACATTAATCTAATCTCTAGTGTAAAAAGTATTTTTAATTTCGATCATTTTCACGTATTTAATAAAAGTTTTAGAAATTTTACTGAAGTAAAATGCTTTGTAATTGATATATTGAATTTTATTACAGATTTCATTTAATTTAACAATTATATCTAGTGAAGTGTTCATTCGAATGATCTGAATAATCAAATGATCATTCGAATGAATCATTTAAACCTATAAAATTCCTTCTTTCAGCTAAATTCTTGCAATTTCTCAACTGTTTAATACAAAACGATTATTAAATCACTTTATATGTTTTATATTTTAAGAATAAAAATGGAAGTCTTCAAACTAGTTTTAAAATTCTATTATTAGTAACGTAATATTTAAATAAATTATTTTTGTTTTTATAAAATTATTAAATAGTGGAAGCGTTTATTTTAAATGAGTATGCTCAAAAAATGAAGTCAATTGTCTATCATAGAAGCACCAAGACTCATCGTCTAAATCAGTGTTCCGCAAACTTTTTTCCGATAGTTCTTTCTTTAAATATTTGATACGACCCCAAAAATAATAATAAGGCTGTTGATGAGGTATGTATTGTGCCTTTTATCCTCTCTTCCACCGGTGTTATACCACATACACTACACAAAAGCCTAGAAACGTTAAACCTTAATAAAACATGTATATGGCACCACAGAAAGCCATTAATTGTATTGAAGACATGTCACATTGTTAGGAAGTTTCTAGACGTTGACGCATACACAAATAACACAGCTTAATGTTACACTTGTTTGGATAGCTATGCTTTGAATTTAGTCCGGCATAGCACTTGGCACCAGTATCAGCTGAGCATGGCATTCACAACATAATAGTAATAAATTTTTTTTAGTGTTTTGCAATTCTAATAATCCAACAGTAGCGTAGTATGAGACTTAGTTGATTCACTTTTTCTGTTTTTAAGAATACGTGTATATCATATTTTATTTTTGAAATTTTTATCGCAACCGGAAAAACTTTTCTCCTGCAACTTCTTTACAAAAATTGCGACCCATAGTTTGTGTTCTACTGATATAAATAACTTATTTAATTAGTCATTGTTCTTACGATCCATAATAGAAAACCGCCCGGCTGTGTAGTGAAGTGTTTCCCAATGAGGTAAAAATCATCCTTTTATAGGCGAAAATACTTTTTTGATAAAAAATTTCGATAATGTATTAAAAGAATTTTCGACTTTTAAGATTTGTTTTTCTTATTAAAGTAAAGAATGAACCCTCCATCAATACACGTATAATGTAGGCCTATTAGATTTATAAACCAAATAAAAAATAATTTTTGGTATCTATTTAAATTAATTGCTAATTTTCATTCATAAATCTATAAACAATAATATAGTTTTCTTATATAAATATAAACAGTTTATAAGTTAAAGTACATTAGTTTTTAAACTTTACAACGTCTTATCTTCAATTGTATCGATGAACTAATAGAAGTTCGAGTAATTGAAGAGGAACTGAAAAATTCAAAAATGTTTTTACGTTTAACAAAAACATATTTTTGTCTGACACTTATTTAAATAGAAGATAAAATCGTTGTGTTTAAAATAAGATATTTATACGTATTAATAATAAATACTAAAATTCATTATATTTTAGTTTTATGTTTCAAATTTATTTATAAATTAAAATTTAATAATTCAAATATGATTATATATACCGTATATATTTTTAAAACTTTTTTCACAGCTTGAATGATTGTCAGTTTGACACTGAAAATTCCTTATTCAATTTAGAATTTAATGTAAACTATAACTGAAAATAAATTATAATAATTCATAAACACAGTCTTGATAAACAAAACTAATATTTTATTTAAACAATAGTAAACTGTCAGGCCTACATCTTTCATATTTAATTAATTTTCATTATCTTATAAAACTTAATAAAGTTAAAATGTCATAAATATGTAAATATTTTATTTTCTATATATAATTTTTTAAATAATTAAATATTAATTAATATTTCTAAAATTTAATTACATTTTAACTGAATAATTAATACATTGGATATGAATAACATGAAATGTATTTTACATATAAAATTTTATAATATTTGCTTAAATTTAAACTAATCATTAAAATTTCATTATATACAGTACTTTCATTCAATTTTGTAATTAAGTTTTAAAAATGTATACAATTTAAACAAGCTGCCACATTAATATTTCATAAAAAGTTCTAATAAAACTCATATTTCAAGTGATAAATTCAAATTGATTAGTTCAAATTAAATAATCAACTTTTAGCCTGAAATCATTTTATTTATTTATTTTTTTTGTGACAAAAAGCGAAATGCTCAAGATATTTCTTAAACTGAGTAAAATATTGTGAAGTAAAATAATATTCTTCAGTAAATAAAATATTTTTATACATCATTTTATATTTCAAAAAATCTCATTTTAATATAATCAAAACATTAAATAGTTTATAGCTCATTAAATTATCTGTTATTAAAAGCCTCTTAACATTATTATGTAGACTACAACGCTTTTGTATAATAAATTTATGATAGATGTAGGAAAAGTTGACTATATGGAAAATAAATTTAATTTTTATTTTTAAAATAGAGAATTTATTATTTTGATTCTGCAGATATTTCTTCCCACTTTCTTCGCATCGCGTTTAATCACAAAACCAAGTCTTATAACTTTTGAAATACTACTTTTTTACAAAAATAGAAAACAAAAACAAAAAGAATAATTTGCTGAAGTGATAGAAATAAATTTATGACAAAAATATTTTTCTGTGTTCAACAGTTCTTAAAATATTATAATTTATGTTGATACGCGCACGGAAAAAGATAGTTTCTTTAAAAGAATATTCATTAAATATGATTTAAAATAAATATGTAAAAGTTTAAATTTTCACATTTATTTTGAATTTTGTTAATAAACACGCTACTTATATTAATTAATAATATAATTATCCCATTTTTTTCAACTATGTCAAAATAGTGCAATTTATTTCCATTCATTTTGTTTAGGGGGAGACCGGGGCAAGATCGGCATGTTAAGCTTTACTTAAATTTTGTGTAATAAATACTGCTGTAAACTGAAAAAAAAAGCTTTGCATATTGTCTATTGGAATGTTACCTTACTATAGAACTGGTTAAAATCAGTTTGGAAATAAAAATAATTAAAATAATTACAACTTTACAAGAAGAGAGAAATTGACGAAGTTGCCCCGGGTATAGGGGCAAGATCGGCAACTTCTCTCTTTTTGTAAAGTTGTAATTATTTTAATTATTTTTATTAAAGTTGCCCCTGGTATAGGGGCAACAGTAATGGGGCAAGATAGGCACGTATATAAAATTATGTTATTAACAATGTATAAGTTGGAATTCACTATTAAAACAAAGAAATACAAATCCAACACCCATTTAATATTATTACAACGAAATGCAAGTTCAAAGACATATATACATGAATAACAAATGCAAACATGTTTTCATTTATCATCTGTTTGATTTTTATCCTTTGCTTCTAATGTGGCTTTATGTTGCCGATCTTACCCCGCTAGTCATGATTTCGAAACATTAAGTACAACCCTGAGAACAGAATGCCAAGCCACGATCTGGCCACGTGAATAAGTTGAAGTTACATCCTTCTAACAGGAAAAGTAACTTTCGTTATCATGGAATTATAACAAAACCTGCCAATTCAATATAAATGGAAAAAAAATATTATATGGAATTGAACGAAAATGAAAATTTGCTTGATAATTCAACTACGCTTGTTGGAGAACAATAAAAACACTACACTCAACAAGCCACCAATAAAACTCAACTGCCTAACCTATAACCAAAGTCTCTTTTTAATTTGTTTTTAAAAAAAAGCGCTTGACAAACTTGCCCCGCACGCCGAAGTTGCCCCGGTCTCCCCTATATACTGTAGAATACGTAGATGAAAAAGTAAATAGAAAATACAAAGAATTAATAGCAATTATTTGTCTTTTAAAAGGATATAAAACAGCGATGGATTATCTATGCCCTCCCTATCTGTGACCGAATGATTAATATTTAATGTCATACATACAAATTGATGACCACCAACAAATTTTTTCTCCGTCATTACGCATTTCCGTCCTGTGAAACCATTAAAACTCTTCACGGAACGCAGTTTGAGAAATACCGGTACAACGACGAAAGACCCACTTCTCTATATATAGAGATTATATTATGAATTGATATACACTTGAAATTCGAGTTTTCAAAACATAGTATGCAGGCGAAATTAAGTAAAATGTAAAACACTGAAAATTATTATAATGCATTTAGTTCATTCAGAACTTTATATTGTCTCCTTTTTCATCAAAATTATTCCTAAAATGATGAATTATTACATGTTCAAATATATTAAAAAAAACAAACTGATGAAAAACACGCAACTCAAATTGAAGAATTTAAAGATAATGACAGAACAAATAATTCTCAAAAAATACTTATAATAAGATCTATACTTTCTATGATAAAAGAAATAATTTTGAGATTAATTTAATTGTAATTTTTTTCCTCTTTTTTACATAAGTGTAAAATATTATCGATATTTTGTTTTTTAAACGTAGATAATTGTTATGAGGTTTTAATAAAATTAAATTGAAAAATAATAATGAAGAAATTAAATTTCAATTGCTCGATATCTTTCCCTCTTGATTTATATTTTTTTTTACAATAAATCTTAAACGTTTCATTTATATATCCGCTGTAGATGATATCTACGTGTAAAAATATCTGTAATAATCTACAGAAATAAAATACATCTTTGTCGTATTGTGCTCTATAATCTATTATTTAAACTTCATCATAAATACAGTAACATAGTAAATCAAATCGAAATTTTATACGTATTTTTATTCTTAAAACAAAACTATTCTAACATATTTCTNGGAAACGTTGTTGAGATGGGTTCTTACAATAGTTTAGACCAGATACATTCGCGAAAGTGGTCGCTTATTACAGGTGTTATTATATGTTGTTTCGGACCAAAAATCGATGCCCGCGGTCGCGTTACACAGGTGGTCGTTTAATACAGGTAACTTATACGAAGACTCTATGGATAAACTATTCCGTGCCAGAAATTTTTGCCCGTTTTGGCAGGTGCCCGTCGAACGCGGGTGGTCGCCTAAGCAGTTTTCACTGTACTGTACTTGTATTATACATCTGAGGTGGTCGCTAAATTAGCTGGAATCAATAAGACCATAATTATTTTTTTGACCATACTCGCTATCCGGTGCTGTTCATTAACTATTGACATGTCGCATTGACACCAGTAAGGTCATCACTTGCTGTAGTCAGTTTATCTTAGGGACGGATCTAGGTTTTTCGGGGCCTAGGGCTTGTTGAAGTCCAATGGGGCCCCATTTTTTTGTTGATACAAATAATACTATAAATTATCATTATTATTAATATTAACTATTTTTTTCTATACGATAAGTGCGTTCTTTAACTGCCTCAGAATTTTTGGAGGCTAAAAATAAAAGATAGTCTTCCAAAAGAGCCGGATTTTCCTTTATGATTTTGCTATTAAATAAGGGAATTTCAATAGATGATAATTCTTTTGAATGATTTTCACTTGTTTCCATAATCACTAGAAATTATAAAAGCAGTTAAATTAAAACAAACAGAATAATCAAATCAATCTAAGCAAATTTAATCTTGTAATGATGACATGTGATAAATTTAAAAGATAGATTGATACGGCATATTCAAAGTGTTTCCTCTAAATTAATGACTGATTACTCTTTATTAATTATGATACAAGTTATTAACTCTTATTGAATATATAGTTAAATTTATTATCAATGAATCTCTTATTATACAAGCTAAATAGTCATTGAAGTTTATACTCTAAATCTATTAGAAAACTTTAATTGGAAGAATATTAGTTTAATAAATAAATCAACTTTTACATTAAATACAAAATTAATACTATAAAATGGATATTTCGAAACTTTGTTTTATTAAATTATTTATAAATATAACAATAAAAGATTTCTATAATTGTAAATAACGACATTTTAATAATTGTAGATTTAAATTTTTATAGCTTACAAGGAATAAAATTATATCTATAACTGTATTATATTGTATTAAATATAAATGTAGAAAACAACGGTAAAGGAAAATAGTAGTTAATTACAATATACAGTGATCTCTCAGTTATACGACTCTAAAGGGAGCAATGATAAAAGTCGTATAAATGAGAGAGTTGTACAAGAGAGAGATTGACCAACTTGAATGAAAAATGTTAAAAATATAACTATAATTATGACATTACCACTTGTTTTATCTAAACTTATAACCAGCAGCCATTCTCTTTCTAAAAACAGATATTATCATTATATCCACTATTATAGACTTCTCTGCTTTCTTTTCTTCCTGGGCACCTATTTGACCTATAACAAAGTGATCCCACTCTGTTCATGTGATTGACAATCGCGAGGGTAAATTGAGGAAAAAAATACATTAGTCTGAAATATTTGAGAGAGTCGTTGAAATGAGAGATTTTAGACATTATCTCTCATAGGCTTCAGCCAGGACCATTGAAAAACGTCTCATAACTGAGAGAGTCGCTTAATTAAATGAGAGGTGTATAAGTGAGAGGTCACTCTGTAAATAGAATACGTTTAAGAAGTCCCGCCTAAAAAGGTTTTCCCGCATAAGAAGTCCAATTTCTCTGGTCCTGACATTTACACCATGAGTGTTAAAATTTCCAGCATAACAAATTTTTCCGTGTAAGAAATTCCAAAATATCGGTTATTTTACCCACTTAAGAAGTTTATATGAAGACAGAGCCGGTGTCTAAGAGCAAACTGGGCATTTCCCAGGGCGGCAAATAACAGAAAATTTTCAGGCGTATTATTTTTAAATATCTTTTTTTATTTATAATACATGGAGCGAATTGAATATTGATTGACGGAGCAAGGTATGCATATGAAAACAAAATTTTTTTCATTTCATGTAGGGGGATAAGGAACGTCAAATGCATGTCTTACTCCCAGCGGCATAAACTCTAGAGCCGGCTTTGCGTGAAGACAAATCGTAATATTTTTCTTCACCATAACTTTATCACTTATGAACATAGTAAAGTAACTCCAGACGCTCACTATATTGTACAATACTGTAAATCAAATACAGTAAAACCTGTCTATGGCGACCACCCACGGTTCCTTCAAAAAGTGGTCTTTTAGGCAGGCGGTCGTCCAATACAGGTGGTGCTGTAATACCTTATTTCTGTACGTATTTTGCGCACTTTCTAGCCATTTCTACTAAACAAATCTCGAGGTGAGCAAAAATAAGCGAATTTTTTCAACGATAGGGCTATATTGGTATTGTATTTTATTCTTATCGGATAACTCGATTTACAGAAGTCGTCGTGATATTATAGGACAGATTTAACACCAATATTTTAAAGATTAATACAATACTCGCATTTTTTCGATTATAATGCACACTTTCTTTTTTCCGAGTTAATTAATTCGACTCGGTTCTTTTCGTTCGCTCCTCAGTTACGTGTATTACGTCATCAATATACAAGCGCGTCGTATCTCTCCATCACTTTGCTTTTGGTTTTCGTTAGTTTAATCTTATTTTAACTTTAAAAATACTGTATTTTTTTAATAATTAATATTTTCTTAATTAATTAAGTACTATAAGAAAAATTATTAATTAATAATAAAATGATTTTATTATTTTTTCTCATTATACGATTTCATTACAATCGCGGAATTGAAAAAGGAAGTAAAACTGATTTTTGCATTAATGCGTTTATTGTTTTTTGAATATTTTCCCTGTGAAAATTACTTGGATATTATTTTTCTAAAAATATGGTGGAAATAAGGTAGGTTGATACAGAAACTATTTATCGCACGTGTACTGTATATGAGCATTAAAATAAATAAATAAAAATAGATTTTATCAAACGATGAGATCAGCCGATTAATTGTATCGTGTACAATATTTTAAACCCCCAAGGAAAATACTGTAGGTCTAGGGTAAAATAAATTTTTTTTTTCCCCCACAGTTAAACTTTGCCGCTAATTGCTGTTGTGATAACTTTAATACGATTTTCTAACGACAGCACTTTGCATTTCGGACATTTTCCAACAAACTGAAATGAATTTCCTTTGTTGCTAGACTAATTTATTAACACCTGCACCTAATTTCAAGGGTGGGAGAAGTGCCCGGGATGGGTTCGAACGAGAGTTTAGACTAATTCATTATATTAGGAGGTGGAAACGTTGTTGAGATGGGTTCTTACAATAGTTTAGACCAGATACATTCGCGAAAGTGGTCGCTTATTACAGGTGTTGTATGTTGTTTCGGACCAAAAATCGATGCCCGCGGTCGCGTTACACAGGTGGTCGTTTAATACAGGTAACTTATACGAAGACTCTATGGATAAACTATTCCGTGCCAGAAATTTTTGCCCGTTTTGGCAGGTGCCCGTCGAACGCGGGTGGTCGCCTAAGCAGTTTTCACTGTACTGTACTTGTATTATACATCTGAGGTGGTCGCTAAATTAGCTGGAATCAATAAGACCATAATTATTTTTTTGACCATACTCGCTATCCGGTGCTGTTCATTAACTATTGACATGTCGCATTGACACCAGTAAGGTCATCACTTGCTGTAGTCAGTTTATCTTAGGGACGGATCTAGGTTTTTCGGGGCCTAGGGCTTGTTGAAGTCCAATGGGGCCCCATTTTTTTGTTGATACAAATAATACTATAAATTATCATTATTATTAATATTAACTATTTTTTTCTATACGATAAGTGCTTATTGTTAATGAAAAAGTATTAAAAATTCTTATGTAGATCCGTCCCTGATCTTACTATTTTGTTACACTATTCTATATTATCTTGATATTGAAATAAAATTGATTATACAGATAAAACATTATTTTTTTACAATTCCTGCATAAAGGAGGATGCACACATGCGGCGCGGCAAGGAAAAGCGGCGGAATGACGTCACCTTTTCTCGCCGCAGAAGTCGATTTTGTGCCGCTTTTCTTGTGCCGCAAAAGTTGGTTGAATTCTATCTTTTGCGGCGACCACCGCCAAGACGC